GACTTTGGAATGCACGTACGCCACGTCCGAGCGACTATCGCTGCGCCTGTTTTTGCGTTCGCCTCGCCACGAGGAGATGAAGGGACTGTGTACGATCGCGGTTCAATCATGCTCCAGCCTGATGACACGTAGTACGACAGCTGTCGTAAGTGGGGAAAGCGTTGATACCTAAAAGACGGAAATAGATATAACTGTTGGTAAGCGACACGCGGTACGTTGCCAAGCGCACCACTGCTGTTCAGATTTCTGTTGATTCGTGGTCAAATAATCGCGTCAACAATTGACGACTAGCGGATAAACATTTTACTCGATGTGGTACGCTGTCGTTTCGTGTTATTAAACGAACGAGCGTTGATCGTATCATATAGTATTTACCCTCACGACTAGCACTTGATAACAAACGCATGGGATATCAATTAATACATTACAATGATTTTACGCACACTTGCGCGATCCGTGCATCAGGACAATCGCAATCCGCAGCTCCTACGACAATCTGAATCGGTCATCTTGATAGAAACAGGTTAATTAACGCTCGAATCGAATGGGGTTATCTGGAACTGCCTCTCTCGAGTCGCACGCGTTTCACCTACGAGGAACTGCTCGCTCAGACAAAAGTATTCTTGCCAGACATGGTCTCGTGCATCGACGATACCCATCGATCGCGATCCATCGCAATCGATTCTAATCGCAGGAACGGGGAAGCGACGTATGCATGCGCGCGCCACCGCGACCAGTTACCTTGTACATACATATATCGATGTATTCAGTGTCCGGTGATATTCGAACCTTCTGTAATCGTTACCGTCCCGTCGCAACAACTGTGCCGATGTTATGATTAATGATCAGCCACGTCCTTCGGATAGTCGTTCTCTCACGTTCTCTGCTTCCGTATATTACATGCTGGCCACTATTCCTGACACAATTTCCTCGATTAATTATAGGCAGCGCGTGTGCGAAGTGGCAATTGCCGAGGACTTTCTCGCTATCTTAATGCAAGTGCCGTTCATATCAGAATAGAAATTACGCAGGTAACCTTTAAGCGCCAAAATAAGCGCGTTTCTTTTTTTTCTTTTATTTTTCCAACACTTTTCTTCTTTAACCTTACTTTTTTTTTT